TGAAACTGCTGGTTCGTCTGGTCAGAGGAGAACTGGCCCCCCGACTGAGCCTGGTTTCTCTCAAGGTTTTTTCTCCATTCTGTCACCGATAGTGTTTTGGTTCCTTGCCGCTGTCGCCTCTGGCTTGCTTAGTTGGGGACACTTCATTTCCAGCGATATCGTTGACTTGATTGCAAAGATATTATTTAAACTGAGCTGGATGTTGACATCACTGAATTCAATGATGAACTGTCTTTAACTGAAAATGAGTGTTTACTATTGTCATTTTGCATTATTGACACTATTTTCCTAATTAATGCTGTTCAGTTGCTTTGACACAATCTGTATTGTTAAAAGCGCTATATAAATAAAGGTGACTTGACTTGACTTGACTTGACTATAAAGCTGAGTATATTTATTTTTCAGTCAGAGCTAAATGCTGTCTTGTTTTTGTCCTTTTTTTGTTTTCCTTTTGTCTTTTCCCTCATGGCAGACCATGTATGCAGTTGTTACCTTGCAAGACTCAGATGAGGTGATGGTGGTACCATCAAATTGGTTGAGCTCAGACAAGAAACACTGTTACTGGCCTCCATTCAAATCCACAGAAAAGTGCATGGAAGCTGTTCAGAACAAACTTAACCCTGAAACAGAAGGCAAACCATGGGAGAAACTACGCATTAGCTTTCTTGGAGAATATGGTAATGGTCACTACTTTAAAATAACCGTTTAATTTGGGATTTTGTACTGTCTAATAAGTTCTCAAATAATACAATATTTATCTTACTGCAGACACTTTTGAGAAGGCAAAAGAGGGGCAAAAAGAAATCAAAGAATATGAAGAATGGTAAGTAACAGCACTTTTCAAAAAAATAAAAATGTAAAAGATTTTACCTTTGAAAGAGCAAAATAATTGATTTGTACTGTTTTGTTTAAAGTATTGTTTATTTTCAAATAAAGGTCATATCCATTAGAGACTGTATTACCTGGAATAAAAAGACAGAGACTTGATAGCACTCAAGTAATGTCAAATAATCAGTTACAACCACTTCCTCCAGTAACACCTGCATCTACATCCAGAATGTCAGCTGATGGTGAGTCAGCTTCTTTTAACATAATCAATATGAGAAGTTTATTTTCTCTTTTTTGTAATAGCACAACTCATTTTGCACAACAGACAAGGTTGAAATCCTTCAAATGCTGAGAGACGTCAAGAGCGAGGTTCAGCAAAACTCTACCATGTTAAAAATACTCAAAGACAATACGGTTTCTGAAGCACCCAGCAGTACATGCGTGCCTTCAAAAAACCCAAAACTGCCTCTTAGAACCACTGAAGATGTGGCCAGGACTGAAATGGAGCTCAAGAACGCAACAACACGCAAAAAATATGTGAGACGACACAGCATTTATACAATATTTAAAGGGATATTGTACACTCATTTGCTTATAATCACAAAATATATTTAAAATAATAAAGAAAATATAACAGCACTGGAATTTCCCTCTTGTTCCATGATGATAGCTTTTTACCAAATATATAAATGAAGAAATTCTGATTGTAATCAAAATAATTTTATTATCTTTCTTAGAAAAGCTTAAAGGTTCTACAAAGAAAAATAGTCCAGGCAGACCATTATAACTGTACAGTTTAATGTCATTATACAAAATATTTGACTGATTTAAAGCGACTAATTAGAATAAATACAATTTAAATGAATAATCTTCACAGGTAAAATATTTGTCAAGGCTTGGAGGTTTTATGCCGAAGGATGTGATTAAGAATATTATGCAGCAAGTCTTAACAGATGATCTGGCTATGCAGTTCAACTGGCTGGGGAGAGGAGATAAACAGGCCTTCTCTCAACTTATGTTAACAGATGTGATCAGAGGTAAACACAGTGCTGCATGAACACTTCCCACAAACCAAGAATGTTTGTATTTTGACTGCAGTTGTCTTTACTTTCAAATCAAAACAAAGGCATAGAAATAAAATATATTTAAAGAACAAATTTGATCTTAAGAACATACAAACTCTTTACAGCTGTGATTATGAGGCACTATACAAAAAATCCTTGAGAATCTCCGACTCAATTGTCATGAAGTTTCTTCTTTCAGATGCTGCATTAACCCAAAATGTAAACAGGGGTGACTGTGAAACTGAAATAAAAAAATATCTGAGTTACGCAGCTGGTCGGAAGAAAAGAGAACAAGGAGGTGAGTGATACAGATGTTAGCTGTTATGTGAATGCTCTCATGGGACTATATTTAGGATACAGATGAGCTCCTGACATACATACAAGGATTTCCTTGGTTTTGATTTTAAGCTCACTTCAAAATTCATTCACATTTTATAATTGGCTTTTCTTATTTTAATTGTGTTGAAAACACCAATAACAGTGATCTTCTTTTATTAAATGCCAAACTCTGTAGAAACCACCTTGTTTAAAGGGTTAGTTCACCCAAAAATGAAAATTAGCCCATGATTTACTCACCCTCAAAGCATCCTAGGTGTATATGACTTTCTTCTTTCAGTCGAATCCAATCAGAGTTGTATTAAACATTGTCCTGGCTCCTCCAAGCTTTATAATGGCAGTGGGCGGGTGTTTCTGTTCAACAGTCCAAAAGAAGTCCAATAAAGCCCTTCTATCCATAATAAAACATGATTATTATGTTTTAAATATGGATATTTTTCTTACAAAAATGCATCGATTTGCTACAGGAGGCCTTTATTCACCCCCCCAGAGCCGTGTGGAGCTTTTTATTATGGATGGATGCGCTTTATTGTACTTCTTATGGACTGTTGAACAGAAACACCCGCCCACTGCCATTATAAAGCTTGCTGCCATTATAAAGCTTTGAGGAGCCAAGACCATTTTTACTCCAGTTGAATTCGACTGAATATACACCTAGGATGCCTTGAGGGTTGAGTAAATCATGGGCTAATTTTCATTTTGGAGTGAACTAACCCTTTAATCTTCATTGTTTAGTATATTTTGCATAATTACCTCCTCTCCCTGCAGGTCGTGGGCATGAGATTCCAAATGTGATTTCTACCTCAATGATGGACAACCAGCCAGAGAGGGAAATACCTTGGAACATTTTTGATTAAAGGGGTCATGTGATGCGATTTCAAGTTTTCCTTTCTCTTTGGAGTGTTACAAGCTGTTCGTGAATAGATAAGATCCCTAAACTTGCAAAGACTAAAGTCTCAAACCCAAAGAGATATTCTTTATAAAAGTTAAGACTGGTCCACGCCCTCCTTAAACGCCTCATTTAAACATGCCCCCACATGTCTACATCATGATGTGGGAAGCATTGTATAACGTTGCCCAAATGTTCACGCAAAGAAAGAAGGCGTAACTTTATTGTTGCTGCCGCAGCCGCCGCCATGTTGTGAAGACGCTGTGTGTTTCATTGCGAAAGCGAAAATACTTTATTTACAACACTGTTCCAGAACAGTTCAACCCAAATATTCAGATGTGTGCAGTGCATTTTATGGAGGACTGTTTCCTGATCCTGGTAGAGTAGACTACAATGCCGGCTGTTCTGACTCACAGTCTGTAAGTACGTTTTCATATTTAAAGAATTTGCCACTGACGATTCAAACACGAGTTTTGAGCAGTGTAGAGTAGCGCTTGTTGTTTGTCATTTCTCCGATCACAAATGCAGACATGGTTTTATGTTAATGTTTATGTTTACTATAAAAGACAGTATAAAGCCGCGTCACACTACATTTTGAGCATGCGAAATTCGTTCGGACGCTGCAGCGATCGTGGTATGACGTCATGCTCTGCAGTGTCTTTTAAAAAATGTATATTCAACAAATAAACAATAATAATACACCTAAAATGTAAAAACACAATCTACTCCACTTTCCCGCAGCACTGCAGTTTTAGATTTATATTCTTTTAATTCAGATAGGAGGTCATGTGATGTATGTGACGCTGTGACGTATCGATCTGCTGTTGGTCACACGGTGTCACGTGATGCGAATTCGCAGGCCAGAGTTCACCAAGTTTGAATTTTGGAACACAGCGAAATGCGAAAACTTTTTGCACGGGCTTGTGTTTCCAGTCTGATGCATTCGCATGGGTATGAATGGAAGTCAATGGTTTGAAAAGTGTAATGTGACCGCGGCTAAAGTCATTATAATCCGAAATTATGTCCCCACTGGATGCAACAAATGCCTCGTTTATAATGGGTTTTAATGTTTTTGTCTCATCGCTCCGGGACACGGCATTAGGGCTGTGCGATTAATCGAAATCGAATCAAAATCGGGATTTGAGACGTTGTGATTTCCTAATCGCAAAGCCTGCGATATGGACACGATATTACTCTGTTCTAGAGCATATGCATGACTGCCAGTCTTGAGTTGCAGTCTTACTAACCAATAGAGTGGGCGCACCTCCGTTCTCCCCAATCAGCACTGCTCTAGCCAACTGCGTAAACACCCACCATTAATTCTTTTTTTTTTTAAAACACAGAAAGCGGGAGAGAGACAGAGTGGGATTATGGCGTCTACTGGGTCAGATTGATAGTTAGGCAAATTAAAACTAAAGAAAAACGTATGCAACTTAAGCTTCGAAATGACAGACAATGAACAAAAAAGGTAATTTGCAAGAGCTGCGTCACAGCCCATATCAAAAGCTCCCTTATCGGTTCTGTTTTCAGTACTGGAGAATAAAAGTGAATTTTGATAGCATATTACAAAATTTTATTTAGCTTTACAGGTGAAGAACAGATTCAATGTCCCATCCCCAAAAAGTCAGAAACACCACAAAAAAAATAAAAAATAAAAAATATATTTTTAAAAAGTGTGAGTTGAAATAAGAAATAAAGAACTTTATTTATTAATTATAAAAAAATAAATAAATATTTTCTGTGAAATTAAGTTAATTCTGTAAATGTAGTTATACCATTATACCATTATAATCTTGCCTGCTGAAAAAAACAAACAATTGAACCCCTCCCAAAACACAATTGTTTTATGGATTTCAGGGTTATAATGGGAATTGTATTGGTTTTAATGTAAACTATAATGGTGTCTATTTGATGGATTCTATTGGTGGGATGTAATCTGGCAGATGGCAACCAATAGAACAACAGTAGTTCCTATTGGAATAATGCCCAAAATAAAAATGAATTTTGTAATGGTTTAATGGAAACTATAAGAATTTCTGTGATAGTTTCTATAGTTTTTTTCAGCAGGGTAATGATACCCATACTGTGCTGCACATTATTGGCAATATTGAGCTGAAGCTTGACTTTGCAAATTTAAAATCACAAATCAAATCGCAATCGCAATATCTGTCAAAAAAAATCGCAATTTGATATTTTCCCCCAAATTGCACAGCCCTACACGGCATTACAGTATGGTAAGGGCATAACATTTCTGTCACATACTTGAGGTATTCGGCCAATCACAACGCACTGGATAGCTGGCCAATCAGAGCACACCTCGCTTTTCAGACCGATGAGCTTTGTAAAAATCGACGCATTTGAGAAAGGCGGGGCAAAGAGGAGAAACAATAATGTACAGTATGTGGAAAATAATGTGTTTTTTTAACCTTAAACTGCATAAACACATTTCATTACACCAAATACACAAAATAATGTTCTTTTTAGCAACATCATATGACCCCTTTAATGAGTTTTTGATAGGAATGCACCGATACTATTTTTTCCAGAATGAGGTCAATACCGATACTTTTTGGTACTTGCAGATATAGAGTACCGATACCTGTATTTTCATTAGTTGGCTTTGTTTATTTAGCAAATGATATTTCCTTCAGTTATTTTCATACTTAATTATGCTCATTAAAATGTATTCTACAAGCTTTTGTTACTTTCACTTTTCACTTGCTCTGTGGTAGATTATATTTAATTTAAGAGCACATTAGAGCTGCTTCATTACAGCGGCTCAGTAGGTACTGTAACCACAAGGCGTTTTCCTGTAATAATGTAAGGAATCACTCCTTAGCCTATAGCCTACATAAATATTTGAACAGTGATAAACATGTTTTCTGAAATGTAAGTCACATTTTTTATCATCTGAAGCATGCTGTGACTCATATCATGCATAATCATCAATCATAAGTAATGTAGACCCACTTACACATTAAACATACATTTTGAGAAAAGTATTTCAATTTGATATTACATAATTAATGAATTGTCATGTTTTAAGGCATGGGCACCACTATAGTTTCAGGGCCCCCTCAACATCATATTGAACAAAAACTTAAATGTGTATAAATTGATGTAAATATTTTTTAAAACTAGCCTATATCTGTCTTTTCCAATGTTTCATCAAAGTGCACGTGATTTCATTTAAAATAAACCAGAATTGCAGATGATTTCTCCTCTTTACCAGTGCTTTTGTATTTTTAGATAACTAATATTACACTAGTGAATATACTATGAAAGACACATCCGTTGTTTTTTCTGGCTCTGGTTTTTTCACTGAAACCTTCTGGTAATTCTGTTAGCATAGAATGCCAAACAATTACCTCAGTTTTCTTTTTTTTTTTTTACTATAAACTTTGTTTACCTGGAATTCATACAATGATGAACAAGTAATAATAATATTCACAATAACATATTGGGTTACAGAATAAATAAGTAAACATAATTCCTTAATTTACCACTGGCTACTCTCTGCTGTCTCAGACGACGACGTCTTTGTCCTGTGTCGGTCACCGGTCTATGTGCAATTCGCAACCTCACTGCTGTATTAAACAAATTTCAGGGCTGTGTATAGATCATCTACTTTGCAACATCTGCAACGTTTTCATTGGAAAGATCTGAGAGTAACCATTAGGGAATGTTCTGTACAAGTTATTTTTAGGTTATTAAAAGAAATAACCACCCTGAAATGTTCTGGGAATGTTATTTTATGGTTGCAATAACCTAAAATCAACCATTAGGAAACGTTCTGTATAAGTTATTTTTAGGTTATTTTAAAAATAACCACCCTGCAACGTTCTGGGAACACTATCTTATGGTTGCAAAATAACAACCTAAAAATAACCATTAGTGAACATTCTGTATGTTATTTTTAGGTTATTAAAGAAATAACCACCCTGCAACGTTCTGGGAACACCATTGGTTGCAAAATAATAGCCTAAAAATAACCATTAAGGAACATTCTCAATAAATAATTTTTAGGTTATTAAACAATAACCACCCTGCAATGTTCTGGGAACGTTATTTTATGGTTGCAAAAAATAAAACCCAAAAAGAATGGTCCTAGAACGTTATTTCTTGGTTCTTAAAAAAATAACCAAACGGGAACCAAAAACTAACGTTAGGGGAATGTTCTGTGTTTGCTGGGTTGTGGTTTTATGCCTGGACTCTGTGGTTCCTTTTGTGTTGTCCGCATCGCAGAAATCATATGGCTCTAGATATATGGACAGTGTCGCTGGAAAATGAGTTTTAACTTCAAAATGTAATACAACTACCAAGTGAAATAGTGGTGTGCCATGGATTACCCTCACATCCAAACAAGCGGGGTTGTGTGTCAGAATATTAACAAATTGTTGCTAACTACAGCTGCGATCCATATTAAAGGCTGCATCTGAAGAACTCGGACTGGTCATACAGAGCTCTGTTGTTGAGCTGAACTATGCTATTTCTTTTTTTATTTATTTATTTATTCACAGTTTAATTTTATGCTTAACTGCCTAAAAAAATCAGGCTTGCAAACCTGTCTAAATATGTTCACCATGGTCAAGACAATAAACTATATAAAATCACACCTTTGTTAGATATCAGTCAGCATTTGAACCGCTGTGTGTGTGTGCTTTGTATTTTTCATATATATCATTACATTATTCAAGTAAGTTCCAAGCCAATACCTGCATTTAAAGTTGTAATCCAAACAAACTTTAGTGAAACTGGGTGAAACATTCCCACTGTCTTCTCCATTATGAGGTAAAACAAAAAACTTTTCACCTGTTCTGTCAGGATGGCAGCTCTCCTCTCGCACCATTGCTCCACAACAGGAGCGGCAATCGGGAACACCTGGTGGCGGAATTATGAAATCCTGCTAAGGCGGAGTGTCTCATGCACTTCAAAGGGTCCTTCGTGCACTTCGGAGGCATGGCCTTCAAAGTCCGTGCACTTCGAAGTGCGTGCACTTCACTTTGGGACACA